TACAGACATTTGAACTATGTTTATTCTTCCAATCCATGTGCATGGTATCTCTTTCCATCTCTTTTTGTCATCGTCTATTTCTTTCAGTAATGTCTTATAGTTTTCATTGTATAAGTCCTTCACCTCCTTGGTTAAATTTATTCCTAGATACTTTATTCTTTTTATTGTGATTGTAAATGGAATTGTATTTTGAGTTCTCTTTCTGTAAGTTTGTTATTAGAGTACAGAAATGTGACTGATTTTTGTAAGGTGATTTTGTACCCTGCAGCTTTATAAATGGAGTTTATAAATGGAGTTTCTTCATTTTAATTAATTTAATTTAATTTAATTAATTTAATTAAGTTGTTAATTATTTCTAATAGTTTTCCGATGGATTCTTTAGGGTTTTCTCTATATAAGATCATGTCGTCTGCAAACAGTGAGAGGTTCACTTCTTCACTCCCTATTTGGATTCCTTTTATTCCTTTCTCTTGCCTCATTGCTCTGGTCAAAACCTCCAGTACTATGCTGAATAAGAGAGGTGATAATGGGCATCCTTGTCTTGTTCCTGTTCTCAGAGGGATGGTGTTTAGTTTCTCCCCATTGAGTATGATGTTGGTTGTGGGTCTGTCATATATGGCCTTTATTATGTTGAGGTAATTTCCTTCTTCCCCATTTTATTAAGAGTTTTATCATAAATGGCTGTTGGATCTTGTCAAATGCTTTCTCTGCATCTATTGAAATGATCATGCGGTTTTTATTCCTCATTTTGTTGATGTGCTGTACCACATTGATCGATTTGTGGATATTGAACCATGCCTGTGTCCCTGGTACAAATCCCACTTGGTCATGACGTATGATCTTTTTGATGTATTGCTGTATTCAGGTTGCCAATATTTTGTTGAGGATTTTTGCATATATGTTCATCAGCGATATTGGCCTGTAGTTTTCCTTTTTTGTGTTGTCCTTGTCAGGCTTTTGTATCATAGTGATGTTGGCCTCATAGAACGTGTTAGGAAGCATTCCATCTTCCCTAATTTTTTAGAATAGCTCGAGAAGGATAGGTATTAAATCCTCTCTGAAAGTTTGGTAGAATTCCCCAGGGAAGCCATCTGGTCCTGGGATTTTATTCTTTGGGGATGCTTTTGATTACTGCTTCAATCTCTTTACTTGTGATCGGTCTATTCAGATTCTCTATTTCTTCTGGATTCAGCTTTGGGAGTTTGTAAGAGTCTAAGAATTTATCCATTTCCTCTAGATTGTCGATTTTGTTGGCATATAGCTTTTCATAATATTCTCTTATAATCTGCTGTATTTCTGTGGTATCTGTTGTTATTTCTCCTCTTTCATTTCTTTTTTTTTTTTTAAAGATTGGCACCTGAGCTAACAACTGTTGCCAACCTTTTTTTCTCTGCTTTTTCTCCCCAAATCCCCCTAGTACATAGTTGTATTTTTTAGTTGTGGGTCTCCTCTTTCATTTCTAATTTTATTTATTTGAGCTTTCTCTCTTTTTTTCTTTATAAGTCTGGCTAGGGGTTTGACAACTTTGTTTATCTTCTCAAAGAACCAGCTCTTTGTTTCATTGATCCTTTCTACTGCCTTTTTTGTTTCAATAGCATTTTTTTTCTCCTCTGATTTTTATTATTTCTCTCCTTCTGCTGACTTAGGGTTTTGTTTGTTCTTCTTTTTCTAGTTCAGTTAGGTGTAGTTTAAGATTGCTTACTTGGGATTTTTCTTGTTTGTTAAGGTGAGCCTGTATTGTAATGAATTTACCTCTTAATGTGGCTTTTGCTGCCTCCCATATGAGTTGGTATGGTATGTTTTCATTTTCATTTGTTTCCAGATTTTTTTTATTTCTCCTTTAATTTCTTCAGTGATCCATTAGTTGTTCAATAGCTTGTTGTTTAGTCTCCACATCTTTGTCCCTTTCTCAGTTTTTTTCTTGTCAGTAATCTCTAGTTTCATAGCATTGTCATCAGAAAAGATGCTTGTTATTATTTCAGTCTTCTTAAATTTATTGAGGCTGGCCTTGTTTCCCAACATATGGTCTATCCTTCAGAATGTTCTATGCACACTTGAGAAGAATGTGTATTCTGCTGTTTTTGGATGGAGTGTTATCTATATGTCTGTTAAGTCCAACTGGTCTAGTTTTTCATTTAATTCCACTGTTTCCTTGTTGACTTTCTGTGTGGATGATCTATTCATTGATGTGAGTGGAGTGTTGAGGTCCCCTACTATTACTGTGCTATTATTAATATCTTCTTTTAGGTTTGTTAATAGTTGCTTTATGTACTTTGGTGCTCTGGTGTTGGGTGCACAGATATTTATGTGTTATTTCTCCCTTTGATCATTATATACTGCCCCTCTTTGTCTCTCTTTTCCTGCCTTATCTTGAAGTCTACTTTGTCCGATATAAGTATTGCAAAACCTGCTTTCCTTTGCTTGCCATTAGCTTGGAGTGTCATTTTCCATCCCTTCACTCTGAGCCCATGTTTGTCATTGGAGCTGAGATGTGTTTCCTGGAGGCAGCATATTGTTGGGTCTTGTTCTTTAATCCATTCTGTGTCTTCTTGTTGGAGAATTCAATCTGTTTACGTTTAGGGTGATTATTGATGTATGAGGACTTAATGCTGCCATCTATCACTTGTTTTCTGGTTCTCCTGCATTTCCTTTGTTTCTCGTCTCGTGTATCTTGCTCTACCGATTGAGTTATGTAGTTTTTTAGGTTGTGTTTCTTTGTTTTCTCCTTATTTATTATTTGTGTCTCTGTTCTGCTCTTTTGTTTAGTGGTTACCATGAGGTTTGTATTCAAAAATCTCGCAGATGAGATAGTCCATTTTCTGATGGCCTCTTATATCATTAGACTAAACCGACTCAGTCCCTTTCCTCTTCTCCTTCTAAGTTGTTTTTCTCACATCTTATTCCATCTTGTGTTATGAGTTTGTGATTAAAATGACAAGATTATCTTTGTTTCTGGTGTTTTCCTTCCCTTTATCTTTAATGGTATTCTTGAGTATTTGCTAACCTGTTCTGATGTATAGCTACAATTTTCTGATTCTGTTTACCTATTTATCTCCTTACTCTGTGATTTGTAACCCTTTTCTCCCCTTTTTTTCAGGTATGAGGCCCTTCTTGAGGATTTCTTATAGCTGGGGGGGAGGGGAGTCTCATGGCTACGAACTCCCTCAGCTTTTGTTTGTCTGAGAAAGTTTTTATTTCTCCCTCATATCTGAAGGAAATTTTCACTGGATAGAATATTTCTTGGCTGAAAGTTTTTGTCCTTCAAAGATTTGAATATGTCATTCCAGTCTCTCCTAGGTTGTAAGGTTTCTGCAGAGAAATCCATGGAAAGCCTGATAGGAGTTCCTTTGTAGGTTATTTTCTTCTTCCTTGCTGTCCTTAGTATTCTTTCTTTGTCATTCATTTTTGCCAGTTTCACTACTATATGCCTTGCAGTAGGTCTTTTTACATTGACAAAATCTAGGAGATCTGGTAGCCTGTTCCACATGGATTTCCATCTCCTTCCCTAGTTTTGTGAAGTTCTCTACTATTATTTCTTTGAACAAGTTTTCTGCTCCATTCTCCTTCCCTTCTCCCTCTGGAATACCTATAATTCCTATGTTGCATTTCCTAATTGAGTCAGCTATTTCTTGGAGTTTCTTCATTTCTTTTTAGTCTTAGTTCTCTCTCCTCCTCTATCTGGAGCATTTCAACATGTCTATCCTTGATTACACTGATTCACTGTTCTATGACGTCCTCTTGAGCATTCAGGGAATCCATATTTTGTTTTGTTTCTTCCATTGTGTCTTTCATTTCCAATATTTCTGATTAGTTCTTCTTTATAGTTTCAACCTCTTTTGTGAAGTAACTCTTGGACTTGTTAAATTGTTTCTCTACATTCTCTTTTAACTTGACTTTTTTGGATAATAGCTATTTCGAATTCTCTGTCATTTAGATTACATATTTCTGTGTCCTCAGGACTGATTTATGGGTACTTGTCATTTTCTCGCTGGTCTGGAGATTTAGTATAATTTTTGATACTGCTACGGGGCGGGCTCTGTTTTTGCACATCATGGTATTATTCGGTTGCAGCTACCACCTATCGCCACTGGGTGGGGGTCAAGAGCCACACATTCTGAGCCCTATGCATTCCACAGAGATCCCAGGTGCTGGAGTCACACTGGGTAGGAGTAGGGGAGGGGTGCTTTCTTCTGTGTGCTCTCAGGGTTTTCTCACTCTTCCCTCCCTATCTGCTCTCCTGGAGTGTTGGCTTGATGAGGTCACCCCTGCATTAGCTTTTGCCTGGGTAGGGGGCATTCCCTTAGGACATGGAGGCCCTCAGGGACCTTTGATGTTCCCACAAACGTACATCCCCTCCCCCACCCCTTCCCTCCAGGAGGCTACCTGTGGTCCCAGATCCCAGTCTTTTGGGGAGGGAGTAAAATTTTCTCTTATCCTGGTCCAGCTCCTCTGAGGGGGGCTCTAGCCTCTCTGACTTCCATCGTATGGCTGTGTAGGCCTCTCAGATGTCCTTTGTATTGTGTTTGGATGTCCTCTGTTGGAGTATGAATGTCTTTTTTGTTGTATGGTGGCAGGAGAGATTACTGGGAAAGCTCACTCTGCCATCATGCTGACATCACTCTTATATTTTTTGATCCGACAAAGAAGAGTAGAAAACAAAGATTTAGTTTTTCTTGATAAAGTGTTTAATGACAAAAATTTCAAGAAAAATCTAATAATACCAATAAAAAGCTTTAAAAGAAAAGGAATAATATATAAAGTCTAAACAGCAAATCTAAACAGAAATGTATTAGAAACCCTCTTCAAGTCAGTCATGTCTAATCTATAGATTTCCCATTTCACAGGCACATCAGCTGGAATTCTCTGCCCAAAGACACATGACTGGAGATGCAGTCAGTCAAAGTTTCACTCCTGCACTCTGCCAGAAGTCAGAGCTCTGAAGCCAGTCTCACAGGAAAAGTGAGAAAAACTGCCAACACAATGACGTAATAAAACCGTACCTCTGTTCTTTGGTCATCAACATCTGCAATCGTAGCAACACGAAGTAACCTGGGGTTTCATTTACCCACAACTTCAAGTTTCATATTTGGCAGAAAACCATGAGGCAACCACTATAACATTACAAGGACAAAAATTCACACAAAATCCAGCAATTCAGATATGCCACTGAATTTTTTCTAAAATATTATTGTTCTAGTTTTACATTCAGATCTTTAATACAACTGAAATTTAGTTTTAAGACCACATAGGACTTCATGGATATTATTTTCTGCAGTTTCATAAAAACCTGTGAGAAGATAAAGAATTTTTTGGTCATTTTCAAGATAGCTAAAAAGACAAAGACAGATTAAATCATAAAATCATTACCAATCACAGCAAGGTTCAAAGAAAGATCTTATTACAGTTTACCCATTGGTTTAGACTTTTCCTTTTTTTCTGAAAGTAACCTTATAAATTAAGAATCCATTGACTATTCCCACTGCCCAGTTTTGGAGTGTATGTCTTAGATGGCAAAATTATTTAATAAGTAATTAGAAAGAATAAACAGGATCTTTTACACATCTCCATTTTAAAATATACTTAGATAAAAGCTATATAATTTCAACTGCTAAACTGCTTTCAGATCATACAACAAGGTAATTCAAAGCCATAACCTGTATTTTGTTACTTCATGTGTAATATAAGTACGTTAATAAACTGTGTTACTTTAAGGTTTCTTCCAAGTCTTAAAATGCTAGGAACCAGGAGTCCATAATGGTGGAAACTCAGGCAATAATAAAGAAAATGGAGTGGGAAAAAAATATATTGGGACTTACCAAATCATCGAAACTAAGGAAATTTAACAAAATCAAAGTCAAAAGACAACTCTGAGAGCGTTTACAGGCTGGCAAAAAATTTCACTTTGAAAGCTACTGTCCATAAAAGTGTTCAACTCACTTCACTGTAAATGAAAGTGTACTGAATTCCTAAGGTCTAGAAATGGTAACAGGAAAACAAAACCCTCATAATATGTCAGCAATCAACAGTTAAATCTTTCTCCAGTACCTGGTTTGTTTCTCTCCAATTTTTGTGGAGCATATTTTCCCTCTAAAATGCATTTTTACATCTACTGAATGGAGTATTCTGACTATAGTCAGGTCTCTGATCTCTGAAAACCTTTCTGTTCTCTCCAAGGTCACCATCCTGACACCAGTGGTAATTGTTTCGTATTGCGGATGCCAAAGATACATACCTTGAAGTGAGTCCATAAAAACCCAAGACAGAGTCTAGAAGTTGCCTTTTTAAGCTAAGTCTTTTCATTACCTTATTTTCTTGTAATTTTCCTCTGGGAAAAGTAGAAGGAAGTTTTGACAGAAAGCGAGAGAAAGAGAGACTACTAGCAGCTGGTGTTTTTGCTCATTGAATGTTCAGAATTCTTAAAACGTTTTCTAGCTCTCCAGAACTTCTAGCCTTCTTACTTTGATTTTTCTTCTTCCCCCTAATCCATCCTCTTATAATCAATTTTTGAAAAAATGAAACAGCGTTTTGTTTTAAATCCCTTTTGGTCCCTGGAACACTCTCAGTAGATGAAACAGTGTGTAGGCGCTCACAATATAACACTTTGATTGAGACGAGTCACGGCGCCCGGAGCACACCACAAGCTGCAAGGGGACAGAGTTTGAAACCCAAGCATTTCTATACTATCAACACACTTGCCTTACAAAATAATTTACGCTTGGTCCAAACCTGGAATAAGTATATAAGTACAAATTTGAACTTCAAAAATTGGTATTCTAACAAATGCTAAAAGCAATGTTTCCCTCAAAATGGATCAAACTATCATACACACAGGCTACGATTCACCTATTTTATTATGGCATCATTGACATTCGAACAGTCCCTGAGACTGTGAAGGCTCCAAGCCCCCACTCAGGGGCGAGGAGAGTGGGAAATGAAGGTCTCAGTCACGAGGGGCTCTCAACACCACCTCCATCTGGCGTAGGGCTCCCGCTTTTCAAGGAGGGAGACCATCTCCTTCATCTGGGATAGGAACAGCAGGAAATGAGTCACCTCCTTTGTATTTTTAAGTAAAAGTGAAGCAAACTGGTTATGAAAATAACACTTGAATTTAAAAAGAAAAAGTTAGAATAATTTAAAACTGCCACACGGAGGCACGACTCAACACAGATATCGTTTAAAGTTGAGGGTTTATACGGATACAAGCTTACCATTTTAAAAACTTTGGAAGGAACTGTATTAGTCTGAATAGCTTCCAGATATTCTGTCCAGGAAAAATTTCCTGGATCAGGATAACCTGAAAAAAAAAAATCAAAAGATTACTCATTGATACTTTGAGTCTTATGCACTAAAGGACGTTTGATGTTCTTAGGTGTTATCAGGCATTATTATAACACCTACTGTTAATTGCATGCTCACTACTTAAAGCCCCTGTGCTAAGAACTTCACAGGTATCACCTCACAAGTCTCTGATAACCTCTGAGAAGGCTGTTTCACCCCTCTCAGGCATGCACGCACTCATTCATTGGTTCCTAGAGTCACTCAACAAGGTTAAGCAGGTTGACCAAGGTCAAATGGTGACTCGAGTGCTTGGCAGAGCCAAGCCACACCCAGAAGTCCTCTTTAGAAGTTAGAATAAAACAAGCACTGTCTGATCTTAAACCACGAATTGATCATCTTTCCAATCCCTCCAATAATTCTGCATTGATTAGGGTTCTTTGCTCATAATGAAATCTTTGTAATCATAATTTCCCAGGTTCGATATTTACGTTGCAATTGAAAATTATATACTGGTATAACATCACATAAAGCACTGTATGTTGAAAAACTTTCTGTCTAATTGGGTTTCTTTTTTCTCTTTTTGTTTTGTGTTAAATTATTCCTAACTACATTTGCCAGAGATCTGTCTATATCATTGTGCTATTTTCTTTTTCCTTTCAAGGAGTGAGTACTTAGATTTGTTCATCAGCTCTATTGTTTTCTTTCGTAGTTTCTAATTACTCCATTTGTTACTTTTACTCTTATTACTTCATTCCTTATACTTCCCTTAGGTTTATTTTATACTTGTCTTGCCAAGTTGAATTGTAAACATAATTAATTTCTTTTCTTTTTTTAAATAATCAAAGCATTTAAAACTATGAACCTACCACTGTTGCCCCTGAATACAGCTTTAGACATCTGGACAAGCTTTTACCAAATATTTATTTTTCTCATTTTTACTTTCTAAAACACAATCTTAATTATAATCTGTAATTATCACTGGATTTAATCATTGGCCAAATATTTATTTAAGATACATCCGAAGTGGTTAATTTTTGTAGTTGTTTAAAATATTAATAATATTATCTAGTTTACCACATGGTAGTTTCAGAATGTCATATGGCCTATACAATTCCTATTGTGGGAACTTTAGGATTTCTTTTGGGTATAAGATAGTATCAACAATTTTTTTAAAATGTCTTTAAGTACATACATACACATAACTTATGTATTTTAAGGTATAATACCAATATGCATGAATTCAACCTAAATAGCTATATGATTCAAAAGTACTTTTACTTTTTATTTAACCAAAAAGCCTGAAGCAGTATGCTAAAATCTCTAAAATAATTTTTCTGTACAGTTCTCCAGTATTTGATAATTTTTCTTCATATTTAAACATTTTACTAAAAAAAAAATTTTTTTTTAAGTGCTCCAGTCAAGTGGACGGCTTGAAAATTTTTCACAAAATTAGTATCCCTGTGTAACAAAAACCTAGGGCAGCCCCTGCCCACAGCGCTCCCTTCTAGTCACCACCCCACTATTCTCAAAGAGAAGCTCGGATCCAGCCTTCCAACCTCTGAGATCAGCTCTCTTTGTTCCACTTTTCCTTTTAATAAATAGAACCATGCAGCACGTGCTCGCGTGTGGTAGAAGGCTTTTGCTCAGCGTTCTGACCATGAGGTCCATGTAGACTGCTGCATGCAGAACATTACTCTTCACTGCTGTATAGCATTCCACTACTGAGTATTTCACATTTATTTATCCATTCTTCTGGTGAGTCTCACTTGCATAGTTTCAATTCGGGGGCAGTTATGGAAAGTGCTGCTATGAATGTTCTAGTACATTCTAGTACCAGAAAGGTGACTAGAAGTATACATTTCTGTTGAGATGCATCCAGGAGTAAAACTGTTGGGTCATGGGGTATTCTGCTTCACATTTTGATGTTAAATTATTTAGCCTCTAAAAGCACAAGTAGTGTTCATCTTCATTGCGTTTTTTATTTATCATAGCGAAAATTTCCCTTTTGGACTACTTATTGCATTTTGCCTCAGATTCATTTTACCAAAAATTAAATTTTATGCCATCCTATTACTTTGTGTTTGCCCAATAAAATTTTGCTCATCTTTTTCACTTTTATTTTTTTTGTTTCAGGTATAGCTCTTTTAAACACCTTGTAAATAACCATTTATTTTACTTTCACAACTGGTTTGCTTTATCTAACTTCTGTGAACATGTTTTAAGCTGGATTTTTTAACAGCTCTCTCTCATTTGCTTTTTGTCCTTTTCTATATGAATTGTATGATATACCTTATATAAATATACCTTATTCCTGCACTTACATTTACATTTATAGCTCATATTTTAAAGGATCGTCCAAATGCATTCCTTGCCTTTCCTCCACACTTCTGCGTGGAGGGTTCTGAATAGGCTCACACCTTGCCCCTGCAGCATGGGGGTCCCCTCCTCCCTGCTCGAGCTTCCTCCCCTAACAGCCTCACCAGCAGATTGAGTGGATCTGTAACAGAAGAAGCCAGTGTGTGGTGGTCTGAGGAATGGATGCGCGATGAGGCAGAGAGGAAGCCGTGAGTCCTGCTCCAGCCGCTTAAAGAAACCTGGCATGCTGCTCTGAAAGGAACTATCCTTCCCCGCATTTTATGATCAATAAGTGAAAATAAAAGGCTGTGACTGTTTTAAACGGTTCTGAAGCAATAACTGCCTCTGTGCCACTCTCCAGGAATGAGCTATATACGTGCAAAATAGGGAGAACACGTATCATATATATTCTCTGTTCAGTGACTCCAAAGAAGAAAAAATGTCGTGCAGCTTTGGGAGGCTTGCAAAGCCGCCCACTCCACTGTCCTCCTCGCCGGGTCGTGAGTCCTGCGAGGCTCAGGGGCCAGAATTGGGGTAGCAGAGGAAGAGACAGGGTACAGACCCCTTCGCAGCTGTGCGGCAATACCATAACAGAAGCTTTTCAAAAGTTTAAAGATCTGCTTGAAACAAGAAGGAAATACACGAGACCACCCTGTGGAACAACAATAATAGCCTTTAACCTCTTTACTTGTCTCAAAGAAGAGCAGCCTCTGACTGGCTCCCACTTATTGGTAAGCACTATACTGAACACTCCACTTACATTTATACTGTCATTTATTGCTCACATATCCATCCCTGTGAGGTATACCTTTTTATTTTCATTTTATTGGCGAGGCTCAGAGACCTCGAGCAGCTTGCCCAGTGTTACACAGTTAGGAGGTGGAAGAAAAGGGACTTGAACAACTATGTCTGACTCTATTATCCACATGCTTAATCACGGCTTCCCCCCGGTACTGTAACCCAAAGCATCCATGATCCAAGGCGGTCCATCCTCGGGACTGGGAGTTTGAGCTCCCCCTGGAGGCCAACACGTAGTATTGCGAGGGTGAGAGGGCAGGAACACAGTTGGATTGGAGACTGGGCTACGTGTATAATTGCATTTATTCGTGTCCATCTCATTGCACACTAATTAGAGTTTAAAACTTTGGAGATGACAATACCTGGAGAAAAATGAGGTCCAAGCTGTGGCTGTGGACATAGGGGGCTGAACCAAACAAGGGCAAAGTGTCCAGACACTGAGGTGAGTGAATCCGCAGCAGGACATGGGCCAGGCGGCCCCTGGCTTCCCCAGGGTGCTGGTAGTTCTCTGGGTGACAGTCATCTTCAATGAATGTTAGAGAACAACTAGACGACAGCAAGAGGAGGGACGAGGTGTGTGGAGAAGAAGAGCTTGAGCCCTCAGGGAGGAGAGCGTTCCACACGGCTGAGAACGGTTATGCGGAAGCCCTGAGACCGCGGGGGATGCGGGATGGGGCAAAGTGCATCACCTCCTCCATGGGATGGGGGCATGGAGGCGTCAAGGGGGCAACAGAAAGCGCTGTGTGAGAAAGATAGGGTAGGTGGAGGTCAGTTCCAGAGCTTTGAGTTGAAAGGATTTAGAGTCAAGAAAAAGTCCTTAAAGAGGATACAAATACATATGGGGATGGGAGCAAACATGGAGAAACTTAAGGTCAAACCAAGTGAATTGTAAGTGAAAACACCTAAACCGTGTCATTCCAATGGCTTCCTATACCACTCAGGGAAAAAGCAAGTCACCAGAGTGACATACAAGCCCTGACACAAGGTGGCGCGTTACTGCTGCGACCGCCTCTCCCTTTCACTACACTCCCATCCTAACGACAACACAGCAGACTTCCTCCCTCCTCAACTTCTTGCACTTGCTGTTCCTTTACAGGAAAGTTCTCCCCATGGACCTTCCAGACTCCCTGCCTCATGTCTGTTAAGGCTTTGCTCAAATGTCCCATTCTCCATAAGTCTTTCCTTGACCTCCTTGTATAATATAGAACCCCGCACCCCAACTGCCAAATCTATGTGCCCTTCCTAACCTCATTACCTGCCTTATTTTTCTCCATGGCACTTATCACCCCTAATGTATTCCATATTTTACATATTTATTGTTTCTCTTGCTCTATTAGAACATAAGCTGCCATATGATAGGAATTTTTCTGTTCACTTCGCTGTTATTTCCTCTGACCCTAGAACAGTGCCCAGCGTATAGTTGGCACTCAGTAAATATTTGGTAAATATTTGTTGAATGAAGGAAATGTACTTCTTGAGAAGTTTGCATTTAAAATTGTGGTGCCCAAGAATGACAGAGGTATGAGCTAAAATGATATTGGTCTAGCATCAAAATACTGAATGGAACCTTGATATAAAGCTGTTTGTCTGCTGGGGCTGGTGGTATCATAGGTACCGTTAGAACAAGATGCTGCTCCTGTATCCACACTGGCTAACATTCCAAACATCACTGTAGACTGGAGAGCGTCAAGGGAAGGCCATCTGATGTGTGCCATCTGTACCAGGCGAATGTAATATTCCTCAACTGTTTGTTCTATATAAGAAAGGCCAACTTAATTGTGAGATTGGTTACAGGCTCTTCTTACAAGAGCACCCTCCATTATTGTCCCTCCAGGAAAGGAGCCTAAGCAGAAACATAATTTT